TCCCTTATGTTAGGTAAAAATGAATGAAGCATTTTTTCTCAAATATTTTTGTAAAATGGTATTTAAAAGAAAAATATATAAAATTATATAACAATTTTGGTAAAGTCCTGGAAATATTTGGAAAAAAAATAAACTAAAGTATTGTGAGACTCTAATAACAATAGTAATATCATATATGCTACTTTTAGTTATCACTTTCTAAATAACAAATTTTATAACTATTTGTATCTTTTTTAATAACTTAATAATAATCTTGTTGAATTAAAAAAAAAAAAAATTTGAGTTAAAATTCATTATGTTTTTATAATCTTTCATCTAGGTATATCTTTCCCAAGTGGGATCTAAGTACTTAATTTTCTTGTTCCAAAAATTAGATTTTTGAAAACCTGAAACAATTGACAAAGGAAAATTGATTTCTAACAATTTCTTCTTCATAATTTTCTTTCTAACATTATTATTATTATTATTTTTTTTTTTGTGTAAGTTGTATTTTTCTCATTTTTTAATTTTCTCAAGATATATTACAATTGATTTATAATTTTTTTAAAATTTTTGTCACATAATTCAAATCTAGCGCCCAACCTTAAGGCCATGTTTGGTGCGCAGGTATGGAATGAGGCAAGAATAGAATGCAAGTGGGAATGGAATAGGAATAATGTAAGAATGGAATGAGCATTCTCATTGCACTATTTGGATGCAAACAAAGAATGGAATTATCATTCTCATTTTTGTGTTTGGTTAGATCAAATAAAAAGCTGGAATGATTTATAAATTAGTTTCTCCAAAATACCCTTACTTGTAATATATCAGTTATATTAAAACAGAGTGACATATTCTTATTAAAAAGTAAAACTAGCTTATACCAATTAATGTATTTTTATAAAATAAAAAAAAATTTAATTATCTTATAATGTGTAATGTATTTTTTTTAATTTATTTTCAAAAAATTATCTTATAAAATGCCAAACAAATGTATCACCTACTTGCCATAGTATCAAAGATGTAACAAATATTTGTTAAAAATGATGTAATATAGGTTTAAAATAATTACTAATACTTGAATTTACACATTTGCATCACATGCCTTCCAAGAAAATAGAAATAGTAAAACCAAGACACCATACTTGGCCTAAAATAACTGAAGCATTAAAAGGACCCAATAAAGTATAAGAAGGTTAAAGCATAAAATCTGTGATGTTAATTGAACAAATTGATCATTCACATACCATATTATAAGAGTTACATAAATATCCAAAAAGAACTACATAGTTCATCCAAATCATATTCAAAAGTCTAAACTTAATAAGAGTTATATAAATATTCAAAAACTATAGAAAGTCATGATCGAAAAACCATATCCAAAAGTTTAAGTAGCATTTAAAGAACTACTTCCTTAACCCATGCTTCCTTCTCCTCATCTTTAATTGTAATATATATATATATATATATATATATATATATATATCTAGCAAGTCATAATCACGAGCAAGTTTAGCAATTGCTCTATGTTGCTCGACCATGCTAAAACCGGATAATTTCTCAGTTCTTCATCTAGCTTGAGTTTCGTATCTTTCACTGATGTATCTTCAATTGCTCTACCAATGCGTTCACTACATGAATCCATCTTAGAGCCAATGAAACTTGATGAACTCTTTACCACTTCTAATATCATTTCTTCACCATTTTGGCTTCTCTTCTTTCTCTTTTTTTTAGAACTTGTTTCACTAGTATTGCCAACTATTGGTGGTATAAGTATATCATCTAAAAGGTCTTCAACATTATCATTATCAACATTTTTCTCCTTATCAAGTTCTTTATCTTCCAGTGCTTCTAAAACATCATTTAGTGTTGCAGCTTCCTTACCGTTAGCACGATCCTTTCCAAATATTTTGCACAACTCCTTGTAGTGTGGAAATAACTTATCTTTGAATTTTACAGCATTTTTATGACTGTGCATATTAACAAAGAAAAATAACTATTGCGCACATCATAATGTAAAAGGATTTATCTAAATAAAGTAATGTATAAACAAATACCTGTAAGTAGGCATCCCATACTGCTTTTTCAGCTATCACGCACTGTTTCATTTCATCATAACCAAATCCATTAGCATTTAACATATCATGGACAACGTCAAAATGAGTTTTCAAAGTTTTCATTCTTGATTTAATATGTGGGTTTTCCTTTAAGCTTGAACTTGGTAAATTGTTTGCAAGTATTTTTTCCACAGCTTAAAAATGACCGGGTTTAAAAGCACGATTAGCATTGTACTTCCCAGTGTTATGTAAATCAAGAAGAGCCCCAATAAGTTTCATATCTTCTTCGTCAATCCACTTTCTTTTATTTTTACCGGGTCCACTTTCCATCCCTAATTTAAAACGTCAAACATAATTCTTTATACACAATCATAAAGATTAATCAATTAAACATTGAAAGATTCAACAACAATCAAAAAAGCAGAGTGTCAATTTCTACCAATACAGGTTCCTATTGGTTCATCCTGTCCTATCAAACTTATCAAACAATCTTAAGAACAATAAAATATAAATACAGAAAGGGAAAAAAGATAATTCAATAAATTGAAAAACATGCCAAGAAGATTAATGAATTACACGTTGAAAGATTCAGCAACAATTACAAAAGAGAAATGATTCTACTGCAAATTCAAAACTACCAAAACAGCTGCCGAACTTATTAAATAGGTAAAAGAATAAGTCAAATCCAAAATCTCTCTCAAATAAGGAAACAATTATTCTATAAACTGAAAAACATGCCACGAAAGATAAATCAATTAGCAACAATCTGAAAATAACACAAGAAAGAAGGATGAGCATCATTCCAAAAATGGAAAGGAAAAGGCCCACCAACACAACACTGGAACTAGAAAAACCTGCAGGATACACAAATTCAAAACTATTAAAACAGTTGCCAAACTTATTAAATAGGTAAAAGAATAAGTAAAATCCAAAATCTCTCTCAAATAAGGAAAAAATTATTCTATAAGTTGAAAAACATACCATGAAAGATAAATCAATCAGCAACAATCTGAAAATAAAATTGTTATACTACGATACTTGTTACAGAAACGATAACTAATAGCCCTAATATGCGTGTGTATGCATGTGTGTGGTACCTGTTTAGCTGTTTGTCCACACACACACATATATACACACACGCATAGGTCGAGCTATATGGATAGAGATAGAGCACAAACCAGATAAACACAACATATAAAAGATCTAAAGAGAGAAAATTGTCTATATATATATACATATTATATATATTTATATATTATTCGCTATATGTACTAAAGAGACAGAGATCTAGGTTAGCGCTGAAAAGAGATGGAAAGAGAGAATGTACTCTCAGAAAGAGAAAGCGAAGGTGTCATAGAAAGAGAGCAACCTTGTTGGTAGATTTGTCTAAAACAAGAATCCAGAAGGATTTTTGGTATCGCAGAGAGAGAGAGACCTTGGTGGTAGATTTGCTTGAAACCAAGCAAAGGGTATTTTTGTGTCTTTGATTTTTTTATTTTTTTATTAATGGGAATGAATGTGAATAGAATAGTCATTTCACCTCTTAAGAAGAGAAATGAGCATTCCACATTTTTTATGGAATGGGCATTCCATGAGAATGCCTTGGAATGGCTATTCCACTTTTAATGTGACACACCAAACAGAAGAATGAAAACAAAAGCATTCCATTCCAATTTCATTCGATTCCATTCACTCACACCAAACATGGCATAATTTCTAACTCCGCTTCAGCCTCCTCTACCTCATGCATATCGACAGGGAAGATCTGAGCAACACTCAATCAGCCATGGATCTCTTCTATGGAGTCGTCTAGAGAGAGAAGAAGAGGTCACCTATGACATCATCTATGGAGTCATCTAGAAAGGGGATACATAGAGAGAGAAAAGGTCACCGGTGGATTCATAAGAACTGTGCGATGAAGTTCGGGTGTGGTGAGGAGAGAGTTCAGATCGAAAGAGTCGAGATATCGATTGGGACTGTCATTTCGTTGAATTCCACACTTATTTGGAATCAAAAATAACATCTGGAGGCTTAGAATTGAAATCGTGTAATTGAGGTACATAGAATTGTGAATGAATTTCAATTCCATACTAATTTGAAACAACCGAACAATTAATTTGGAATTGAAAGGCCCAATTCCAACTCCCAGAGGCTCAATTCCAAAGAGCCAACATATCCTTAGTTCAATTCAACTCATCTTAATATTATTGTGTGAAATACATGAATCGCACAAATAAGACACTCATGCCTTTATTTACTCTCTTTACTTTTATTAAATTTAACATATATTCTTAACAAAAATTAGTCATTTTTAATCATCACCTACACAAATCATAAATTTTTGTTTCAACTCTCTTTGAACTTTTGCTGAATGGTTAAAAGATTAATGATGTAAAGATTGTAAATAACGCTAAAAGAGATCTGCTTTGTAATCTTGGAATTACTAGGTTAAAATATACTGTGCTTTTGTCACTGCCAAAAGAAATTAACCAAAAATTTTCTATCTTCCAAGTCAATGACGTGTCTATTATGTTCTGCTAAATGATTTTTTTTTTCTTCTCTTCAAGATTTTGCATGTTGACTACTTTGCTTCCAACCTATTGTGTGTGTATATATATATATATATGTGTGTGTGTGTATAAGTTCCCCATGACAAGGAACATAAGCTAAAAAACCCATAAACATGGAAGGCCAAGAAGGCTTAGATTATTTCCCACTTTGGGGCATGGGAAGTTTGATAGGTACCCAAATGGCCATGAGAGCTGCAATTGAGCTCGATGTTTTCAATATCATTAGTGATTCAGGCCCTGAAGCTCATTTGTCTTCAGCTGAGATAGTCTCAAAAATACCCACTACCAACCCAAATGCAGCCACTGCCTTAGATAGGATACTTAGAATGCTTAGTGCAAATTCTATCCTGTCAATGTCTCTAACACAAGTCAAGAAAGAACTTATGGCTTGACGATGAATTCGCGTGCCTTGGTGACTAACATTCCAGATCGAATTTCTTTAGCTCCATGGATGATTATTTGCTCGGAGAGGGAACTCGTGGAGAGTCTTTACAAGCTCAAAGATGTTGTGCTTGAACCTGAGTGCGTGCCCTTCCACAAGACATATGGAGTGAGCTTTTATAAGTATGCTGCTAAGGATCCAAGATTAAGCAGTTTGTTTGACGAGACTATGGCATGTATTGTTGGAAACGGCATTAGAAAACGCAAACTTTGGAAGGATTTTTAAAAAGATTCCGCTAAGAATTTTTTGCGAATCTATTGATGAGCGCGTTCCTCTCTGCGAGGAGATGAACATGGTATATTTATTTTCTCAAATCCGTTTCCGGGTGAATGAGAAATTGGCTCCAAAGTAAGTGATTTATAAAGCCTAAATGGGTGTGAATAAAGTGGGAAATGCTTGTCCCACATCGGAAAAGTAGCAAAGCAACCTTGAGTATATATATGTCTAGTATGGGATTTGGGTTTGGGCCCAAGGGCACCCAAGTTTTTAAGAGGGGGAGGACCTAGGCTAGCCTGGATCCGAACCAACTACCACACGCGCGCGCCGCCCGCCCGGTCCGGGCGGGGCTTGATTGTGAAATGGGTTTATTACCCAAAGTTAGGATGGGCCTGTGTGGTAATTTTATTTTGTTGCTGGACTTATTTAAGTGGGCTTGCGGGTGGAGCACGCTGGGCTGGGCTGCCGAAGTTTGCTTCCTGGGCTTAATCTGTTTTGGGTTTAAATTCAAATCAAAAACTGTTTTTTTGAACCAAGGGTTGCACCCTTTACAAATTAAAAACCATTGGTCAACAATGGTTGCACCCATTCGGACTATGGGTGCACCCATTCAGAATAGGCACCAACAAGCCTATAAATACCCATCATTGGGTTCATTTCAATACACACCAAATTCAGAAATCTTCTTCTCCTCTTCTGAATTTCTTCTTCTAATTCTTCTTTGTTCGGTTCAGCCACTGGTTTGGGTTCAACCTAAACTGGTTTGGATTGGGTTCGAACCTTGGTTTCCAAGTTTAGGTTCAATCTTGGTCTCCGAGTTAGGATTCAATCCTGGTCTCCGAGTCTGAGTTCAACAAAGAGTGCTACACCGAGTCGGTTCGCCTATTCCATTGGTTTGAAGTGCTACTACCAAAGGAAGAAAAGTCGTTGTATCCTGGGAGATAGACGCCGAAGAGTCCGTTAGCACCGTAGCGGGGCGTATCTGTCTTAAGGCTATAGAATTAAATTCTAGCCTCGACTTTATCAGGTTCTTTTATAGTTTTATTTTCTTGATATTATATAGATTATTATAATAAATATTATATTTACAAATAATATTTAAATAAATTATACTATAGTATATGATACATTATTTATTATTTTTGATTAACATGTATTTCAAAGGTGTTCTTTTATAAGGTGTTCAAGGTGTACACTGGATTTGAAGAAGTGAAAGAGTTCATGGATGTGGGGGGTGGCAATGGAACTTCACTTGGAAAGATAGTCTCTGTTTGTCCACACATTCATGCCATCAACTTTGATTTACCTCATGTTATTGCTAATGCTCTTCACTTCCCCGGTTAGTTCCTCTGCATCCATATATGTCCAAGTCTTTTGTTTTGTTTGTGTATACACCATTGTTTTTTTTTATAATTGCTTTTGGTTTGGAAATTACTAAAATGTTTTGAAATTAATTAATCACTTTGTCGGTGTGGAGCATATTGTTGGAGATATGTTCCAGTCACTGCCAAATGCACAAACGATTTTATTGAAGGTTTGTGATCATATTAATTTACTTTACCGATGACTAGTTATAATAGTCTGCAAAGGGGGAAAAAAATTAAAGCCAACAAAATGTGTACATCATAACCTGTTTTATAATTGCTGCAAAAAGAGTTTATCAAATTCATACTCGATCTTCATATGTCCATCCCACATACTCAAACTAATAAGATCTAGACTATAATTTTTTTCTTGGTTGAGTGATGAAGCGAAGTTATGTTCATTCACGAATTAACAATGAATAACTTTCTTTTTTCTTTTTCCCGTTGAAAACAATGAGTAACTTTGAATTCACAAAGTATTTGTTAAAAAAAAAAAAATCTTAAAATATTTATAATCAATGAATAATTTTGTTCTTTGCAGTACATGTAGAAAACCTAACAAGATATGGAAAGCTAAAAATAAGCCCAAAATAAAATTTTCTCTAAAAAATCAAAAAAGAAATAGCACAATAAATCTAATCACTTAAAAAAGTTTAGAATAGTTCGAGATTACGAAATATTCAACAATCCTAAAAGCGTGATTTAGGAACCCTAAATATATGATGGAATTCGTCTGAAAAATAGTATACGAAAATAGCAAAGTTGCGGATTTTTAAGAGTCCGTCCGTTTATTTATTTATTTATTTATTATTGAGAATAAGTCTTTTTGGTTCAAAACGGATTAGCTGAAACTACCTTCAAAACTATGTTAGCATACATGGGCCGTTTGGAATTTTTGATACTCCAAAAGATCACATAGTCTTAGACAATTAGTTCTACATCATCAAGTTTCTTGGTGTATATTCGAATTAAAATATATTAAACACGAGCGTTAACACATAACATATGTAATTTGTGATGTCAACATCTTCACGCAAATATATATATGTGGGTCTACTAATCAAGCACTTGCGGCATAGTTAATTTAAGAATAAATTTATAAATTAAGTTAGTATGTATAACGCTACTCATACATATTCTATACGCACGTAGACGATATTGCATAATTGGGACGATGATCGTTGCATCATGCTGTTGAAAAATTGTTGGAAGGCGTTACCTGATGATGATAACGGTAAGGTCATAGTTGTTGAGTTTGCAATCCCTCAACTGCTACAAAATGATGCTGAGGCAATCAATACGATAGTTTCGACTTCTATATGATGATAGCCACTAATGGTGGAAAGGAGAGAACAACAGTTGAATTTGCTGAACTAGCAAAAGCGGCAGGTTTTACTGAAATAAAGATCTTTCCAATTTCACTAGGGATTCACATTCTTGAATTCATCAAGAGACATGTTGGATAGAGATTGCATGTTGTATCCTTCGCACGCGCGTGTTTCGTATGGTAATGTTTGCTAGCTTTTAATAAGAAATAATGTAAGAACCCTTTCACATTGTGAAATCTTTCCAATTTCACAAGGGATTCATGTTTAAGAATTCACCAAGAGAAAAGTTAGTGCTTCCGTCAATCATATGTATGTTTCATTTGACAATGTTTGTAACCAATTAATAAGAAATATAATGTGAGAACCCTTGGACAAAGTGGAATCTTTACAATTTCAAAGGGATTTACGTTTCAGAATTCATTAAGCTAGCAATCGAAATGTTGGTGTGCCCTTCATATGTATGTTTCATTTGGCGTTGTTTATAAGCTTTTAATAAGAAATATTATGAGAAACCCTTGGACATTGGGTTTTTTTTTTTATTGCTAATTTACTGTTTTCATGAATTTTGGTATGTGAATTTAATGGTGATGGATATATATATACCACTATTAGGGAACAATTTCTTTAATTTGGGTTCAGTGAGTTTTGTGTTTCTTTTTTTCAATCTAAAGGTAAGGTTGTGGTGGTGGTGGCAGCGGCCGCGACATTGGTGATGGCTGAGGTGGAGGAAGGGAACGGTTGGATTATGGAGGTGGTGAGTAGTGGTATCACCGAACCATTCTTTGCTCTTTACTCTTCTCTATCATCGAAGTTCACTTTTTCCCACAACATCACTGTAGATGATGATTTGGCCATCAAAACACCAAGCAAACCCACTTTCAGATCATTTCTTTTTCATGGAGATGGGATGGCAATGAAATGAATCAGTTTGAGAGAGACTGGGAGTAATGGGTAGTTTGGTCATTTTAACATTATAGTATTTATTAATAAAATAAAATAAAAATAATAAAAGGGCAATTTTGACTTTTAAATCATTTTAGGGGCTATTTGAATTCAATTTCTGATAGGAGTATCATTGTTCAGGCCAAGTTTCATGTGTGTGCCAATAGGACAAACCACAAAGGGTGTTATTGTAATTGATCCTAATTTTATTATAATGAACAATACATCTATTGAACATGAATATAACAATATTTGAGATACAATATTTATAATGAAGTAGAACAAAACTAGGCAAATTTGTAACACGAATCATACTAGTAATTTATATATAAATTAAGAATAGCTAAAACACAAGTAATGAAATACATAATAAAAATTAATCAATAGATAAAATAGAGTTTAAGAAAGAGTCAGCCTGATTATAGAGGCATGTGTAAATACATTGACCTAAAATTGATAATCGTTCCATTCGTGCGGGTATTGACAAAACTAATCAGTTTCAAAATACAACACAATCAACTCATAATAACGTTATGTCCATATGTACTACAACAGAAAGACTAGGTCCAAGTCTATGTCTGTCTCGTTACCCATAAACATAATATGTAAAATACTCTTAAATACACATGCAATACGCATACAAATATGAAATAGTATAATAGAGAGAGAAAAGTTTTCCTCAAGAGTCTCACTAACACCTATATATATATGAGGAAAACTTTTCCCTCTCTATTATATATATCACACGTTGATATATAAAATGATAAATTTCTAATCCTTTTATAATGTAAAAGATTGTAAAGGTTATGTCAACATAAATAGAGAATATAATTGTACCACCCCTCTCTTTTTACTCATTTTTTTGGTCCTATCAAAAACAACTGACCCCCCCCCCCCCCCCCCCCTTTTTTTTTTTTTTGGTTCTACCAAAAGATATACTTTTTTTTTTTTTTGGTTCTACCCGGGAAGGCTCACTCGGACCCTTCTGAATCGGACGCTTAGCGTAACACCAGATCAAATAATGAGTCTGGTTATGATACCAAATTCAACGGGCCAGGTGCTTCACGATCCGACCCAAAAACTTAAGTTGTTAGCTGGAGCTAACACACAACCCCCCCTCTCTTTACTCATTTTTTGGTCCTATTAAAATAAATGCTTTTGTTCTATCAACAAATATCGATAACACCAACCCCCTTCCCCCCTCTCTTTTTTTTAGTTCTGCCCAAAAGAGATACCTTTTTTTTTTTAGTTCTACATGGGAAGGCTCACCCGGACCCCTCGAGATCAGGCTTTTAGTGTGACACCAGATCAAATAATGAGTCTAGTTTTGATGCCAAATTTAACAAGCCGGGTGCTTCGTGATTCGACCCAAAAACTTAAGTTGTTAGCTGGGGATAACACACAACCCATATATACCAATTCATTTCCCTATTCGAATCCAGTGTGGGACATGTCCCACTTGTAATCGATAACGTCTTCTTCTTTTTCTTTTTTCTTTTTGGTTCTGTCAAAAATATAGTTAATTACCGAATACAAAATAATGTAGTGAACATATATAACCTTTTTTTTTGGGGGGGGAGGGGGGGCTATTTTTTTATTGGGTTTTATCAAAATAGAGCGAATATATTAAAGATTAGAAACAGAAATGTGGATATTTTAAGGTTAGTTGGGTAATTTAAAAAATAATACTCACTCACTTGTGAAGTTAAGGTTAAAGTGTCATTTTCTTTAAAATGATAGTACAAATGAAAGAAAAGAGAAGTACGATGTAACGATCCAAACCCAAGGTCCAGATCTCTAATCGGGTCCTAACCCGACCCGGGAACAGGCAAGGGCAAAATGGTCATTATGCACCTTGCTAAATGTTGGGAGTCATAATGATGGCATTCCAATCATTTTTAACCAAATCGGATGATGAAAGAATAACAACCTCGACTTCGGGTTCACCCTATACCCCTAGGGTTGATAAGAGTAAAATGATTCTTTCATGTCAAAATTAAAAATGGGTCAAAAACATGCAAGTTAGACTCAAGAACGACCTTGTTCGGGTTTAGAATAAAGAAGTTATGGGTATTTGAAGTTTGTATTAACATAGGTGTAGAGCCCTTTGTGCTTGAGCATAACCATTTGTGCTCGAGCTCAGGGATCTGCAATGAAAAGTCCCAAGAGCTGCCCTCTAAATCCTACCAAAAATCACCCCAATGCTCAAGCACAAAAGTTTGTGCTCAAGCTTGATAAGCGCCGAATATTATATATTCAAGCGCCCTAAATTGCATTAGTAAAGTCCGTTGTATGTTAATTTATGTAGATTATCTTCATTTCTATATTTTTATGCATTTTCAGGTCCATTTGCCAAAAAAGGAGCAAAATCAAGGCTTTGTGGAGTTTTGGCCATCAAAAGGCACAATTCTGAATTTCTGGCAGCAGTAGAGTCAGGACTTTGCTCACCATTTTGACCTTGCAAACTCGAGAACTGGACTTCCATTATAAAATGGCATATTTAGAGCTCTGAATCAGATTTCCAAATCTTCAAGAAGTTCGTCATTCGGAGCTCGGACCAGAGAGTTATGGCCTTGTTACCAGAGGTGCGCAGAACTGCCTGGCAGCAATGAAATTCTGCCTTGATCTTCATTTTCGACCAATCATCCTTGAGAATTGGATCTCCACCAAAACATGAAGTTTTTAGAGCTCTGAATTAGCTTTCCAAATCTTCAAACGGTTCATCATTTGGAGTTTAGAGCACAAAGTTATGGCCGTTTTACCAAAGTAGGTCCGGGATGAGCAAACCAAGCATAGGGCATTCTGGCCAATTTTCGAGTGCTCGAGGCCTAATTTCGAGTGCTCGAAATTAGGGCAGATTGCTTCACGAGATCAGCAGTGGAGTTAGGACTTTGCTCGCCATTTTGACCCAGAAAGCTCGAGAACTGGACTTCCATCATAACATGAAAGATTTAGAGCTCTGAATTAGCTTTCTAAATCTTCAAACGGTTCATCATTCGGAGCTCGGACCAGAGAGTTATGGCCTTGTTACCAGAGGTGCGCAGAACTGCCTGGCAGCACTGAAGTACTGCCTTTCTCCCCATTTTCGACCAACCAGACTTGAGATTTGGGTCTTCATCAAAACATGAAGTTTTTAAAGCTCTGAATCAGCTCTCCAAATCTTTAAACGGTTCATCATTCGGAGTTCGGAGCGCAAAGTTATGGCTGTTTAACCAAAGTAGGTCTGGGCGGAGCAAGTGAAGCATGGGCATTTTTACACTAAATTCGAGCGCTCGAGGCCTTGCTTAGAGTGCTCGAATTTGGGGCAGAATTGCCTTCGGGAATTCTCAATTTGGCAGCCACTTGTGCATTGGTTTCCTCATTTTCTACTTACTTCTTTATGAGGTGGTTGGGGATGTTTTTTGGAGGAGAGAGAGAGCTTTGTTGAAGGAGATAAGGCAAGGAAGGCCACACATATCATTATCCTATATTCTAGAAGATTAGAGGAGAGAGAAGAGAGCAAGGAGAAGGGTGTTCTTGAGTGCTACAGTAGGAGCTCGAAAATGGAGATGAGGATGATGCTTCTTCCTTCTTCTAGCTCACCAATGGGCAACTAAACCTCATCTAGGGAGGTGATGAAACCCCTCCCTTGTAAGCATGTGTTAGTATAGTTTATTTTTGGGGATTACAATGTATTTTTGATAGTCTTTCCATGGTCAAGAGCCTCATTTTTGTTGTAATGAATGTTGAATGTTTTAAATGATTATTGTGAGTTATTCATCTTGTCTTGGATGGTTGCTTTTCTTAATCATATTGCTTGCACTTCCATGGTGACAATGGAAGTTAGATCATGGAATGGTTTTAATGGCATGGAGTTGGAGAACCTAGATAGTTCATGGCTTAGGGTTTACCTTTGATGGGCTATACTTGATTCTTAGCTTTATGTGCATTCACCATTTAAATTAGGGCTTGATAATCCTTGGCTTAGTAAGCATGTTCTAAGCTACATTTTAGTTTAGGTAGTTGATCATGTGAACCTTTGATGGTTTATTCTTGCCTTTCTAATTAAATGAA